TCGCTGCTTGCGTCATTCGCAACTGCGGCGCGAAATGATAAAAGATGAAAAGACTTGGATTTGAGCCGAAGACGCACCCGCCTATTTGATCCTTCCTAGATTCAAAAATAGAAAAGAACGCCGAAATTCCCGTGGGCTGACATCATTCAGGGATAGCTGTATGAAAGCTGTTCCGCTTGAAAGATGAATCAGGCATCATAATTTATACTCACGATCAACTGCGGTATTAATGGCTGGGGCAGATTTTTGGAGTTTGACGCGAAAGAAGCCAGGAATTTACCGGATGATTCACCCGAATCTGTAAGACACAGAGAAGCTTGAATAATTCGTGGAGTTGCCAGCACTATTATTAATGCTCGACCTTATATTATTAATGCTCTCGCGAAGGTCGAACAGTTCGAGATAATGAACTATTTCTTGACATGATCATAATCGTAGAATTTTGGAATTGTACTGCAACTTTTTCTCTCCTTGCGTTTTCCGGGAAATTTAGATTTTATTAATTTACAAACCATGAATCACGAAAATTCTGAGGAAAGAATTGTATTTCTTGGAAAGGCAATAGTCTTGAAGTGAAAAATTTTCCATTGCTCCCTGAAGTGTGCCGAAAATTTAAAGGGTCGCCAACATTGTTCCAGCATATATTTTTCACTTTCTCACAAATGTTTCAAGGCGAAGATTTCATGAATATTCATTTTACAAGCCTTGTGGTGCGTGAATAGTCCGGTGTATACAGTATTTTTAGTAGATTAGGTGACTGAACTGAAAGTTGAAATTCATTGACGAGCAGTTTGAATCGCCAATATTCCTATTTATTAAGGAGTCTGTAAAAAAGTGCAACCATAGAGATTAAAAATAGGCTTTATTGATGAACCATCTTTTCGTGGCCCGAAAACGTCTGGTTTTGAACAATTGTTCAAACTAAAATCATGACGAAGTCAATGGGTGTGTATTTAATGAAATGACGCAACATGCAGTATTGCACTTTTTACGGAATAGCGCATCTTCTTAATCGCAATTTATTGAAACTCATGAAGTTAAGTCCGAGAAAAAGAGGGGGAAATGGGTGAATGTTATGTGCTTTCCAAACGAGTGTTGACGTTGCTGAAATTGGGATTACATAAAATCGTTTTTTAAGTTCTAAAGACTCCTTTAGAGGACACGACCCGGGGTGCGACTAACTACACAAAACGAAGTAGAAGCTTTTGACTATGCGGTAAGTATTTTGATAATAACGTTGACGCAGAGTACGCAGAATTCGCAGTCAAGCTAAAATTTTCTTCTCTTTTTTTTGTAGGCAAACCATTTTATTCATATTATTGTCTGCGCTCAGTTGGATTGGTTCCTGTTTTTCCTCGCGCTCGATTGATTAGCGCGCATTTCGGCATTTTCGCCAGGAACCAGAGATCAGCTGGAATAAACTGCGCGTCAGACAGATTCTGAGTGACGACAGATTTGTAGCAGTGGAGTCGACAGGGAGAGACAGCGTGTTCCCTCCCTGTTAATGAACCGTCAAAACGTCGAGTCTTCGACAGGGGGGGGGGGGGGGAACTGTTGGGAACGACAGGAGATGAGTTTGTGTCACCGGAAGACAGATTTCACACGATCGTTGCCAGCTGGAGAATTTTTTGTTCGCTTGTTTTCAGTACTTTTTCGGACTTCGAAGGACTATTTCGAATTTACCTTGCCTTGCGTCCGTATTAATTAACGATAAAACCAAGTACAGTACTGTACTGTTCACCCGTTCATCTTTTGAATGATAATATCAAGAGTCTCGGAGTGGGTAAATAACTGTCATTGACAACGGAAACACGTACCTATTAATCACCAGCTCTTATATGATAGATTCTTCCCGGTAAAAATATCATTGTACATGTATTTGAATGACCTCACATCTTGCAGTTTAATTAAACCGAATATTTGGTGTCGATTTTTCAAACCCTGTTGAAATTGTGCCCAGTAATTTCCTGCATTTACCATAAAATCCATCAAACAAGTGAGCAGCTCTCTTTTTTTTTATTCTTAGCATCACCAACAGTAGGAAACAACCAAGCCAGAAAATCGCACAACTTTTCACTACAGTATTTAGAGATGCTTCTTTGTGTCTGAATACTGCATCACAAATTTTTAAATTTCCTATTTTTCATAGTATTATGGATAAATGTTCAAAGGAGCTCCGATTATTCGAGCGAATGACCAGCTGACCTTTGATCGGATAATCGGAGCTTTTCTGAACATTAATGGCAATTGCGTTTTTTCAAGTGATCGATAATTTGTAAAAAAAAAAAAAAAAAAAGAAATAAAAACTATGAACGCATTATTTCCACTACTTGCGTAAAATCAGTTGAATGCAAAGAACCCTTTTCCATTCAGCACAGTTGTTAACGCAAAAATTGAAGGTTTTAAAATCATTTCTGTATTTTTCAACTACCTCTGATAATTGTTAATGCAACTCTGTATTCACGTTAAGAAACTTGCATCATTATTTACTATATCATTATTTACTGGATTAGCAAAAGGAAGGTAACGAAAGACTTCTGAACATTTTAAAATACAAGTAAAATTATGGAAATGAAAAATTATGCCGCATGCTTCTTTCGTGGTTTGCTTCTTCAGTTACCCAAGTTATGTCAAGTGTCGAATAACAGAATCCTTGGTACTGTGGCCAAGGATGTTCACTGGCGACGTCTGCTTTGTCATCGACTAGCATTGCCAACGAACAACACTATATATACTGGCCCTGAAAACACGCACAAATCAATCCAGGTGTTGCCAAGGGCGTCTCCCAGCCAATCTATCTAGTACCGATCGAGTACTGCAAAATTTGCACTTGTGTTTCTGGCGGTGGCTCGGACAAGGCCTCACTATCTAGATACTGTAGATGTATTCGAAATGGAAGTTGTATTTTTAATCGTGGTCTGCTGGTCTGTGAAAATCATTTCCTGGATGGCATGAATTACTGAACCACCTGGAAAAATGCAAGACGTTTAATTAAAGTTCATTCAAGGACTTTTCCAGGATTTTTAAATAAATTCACGATCTATTTTATTGATATGAACCCTTAAAAACCCCTTCCGACAAATATCGCCGCATAACATATAATTTTCCTTTCTTTATTAATTCATTTATGTAAATTTTAAAATCTGGTTGTGTTTTAATCCCCTTTAGTTTATGAGGTACGTGTTAATATCATAGCATTGATCCCCCTCATTTACACTTTCCATGCAGAAGCTATTGCCTAAAATATGAATAATCATATGAAGGTCATCTTTATTACTGTACTTCCGCAATTAAACTTTCAATTCAAGGTTTAAGATATATGGTCTGGAGCATTGATTTGCATTTTTCTATTTTATTTAATTAAAAAAACCTCAACTGAATGGAATTACTGTATTACAGTATGCGCAAAATGGACATTGAATGGAACTGCGAGTGACATCTATCCTTGCTGATACGCGTTGTTGTCGTAAAGGCGAATATGAAATGCAGTACTGTACTTGATTTCAAAAAACATGAGGAATTCTGAACAACCTGCGTTTCTGACTGGATTTCATCTGAATGATGACATTGTTGAGAGAGGCCTTTCGAGTGTCTTGTGAGGTTATTCAAGTTCACATTTCTCACAAAAAAACGTATTTTTGGCCTCTTTTCTGCGAAATGAATATTATTGATGAAATCTTATTCTGTGACGACCGAGTTCCTGTTTTTTTTTTCAGCGCGGATGCGAATGAGGCCTTACGAACTTTTCCCATGACGTTCATTCCTGCTCTCGCGTGGAGCTGATAACGTCGCTGATAGCGACGCAAATCGCAGGAAGCGTTACAAATACGTCGTTGTGATGGCGAAGCGATTCGAATTAATGCCAAGTCTCGATGCGAATCGATCAATCAATCTATTTTTTTCATTGTTTTCGAAGATACACAAACTATTGACAAATTTTGGAACGAAACGCGTGATTTCAAAAAGAGCTGAAGCATCCAATGATCCCGTCGACCCTCTGTTATCTCTCGATTCGCCGGATTTCGAGTGCTATTATCGTCGATGATGATATTATTTTCTGTTCGAGTGACTGGATAGAAACGGATTTCTTGGTGATTATAAGTAAGATTCCTTTTCTGTTGGAGCTCTTTTCATTCACCCAGACAGCTGGAGGCAGTGCCAGGAATAAAGTTCAGTTTTGATCGTCACCGTGACGCCGCATCAGACAACTCGGTGACCTTCGTATTTCTTTTTGTTGGCGTTCCGATTGAATAAGAGTGCGAAATTTCTTGCCCCTTTGTATTCCGACAAGGTAGTTCAAGGTGAGGCAGAGTTCATTTTTCGATGAAAAATCGCTTGATGAATTGGTCAATTCGTACGGATTTCAGTAGTGTTTTCATTCCATGGTGATCTAAAAACTACGTTCTTCTTCAGCATGTACACTCTCGACGAGTGAATCGTGGGATTGAAATCCGTTATGGGACGTACCCTCGTGTACTCATTCAGAACTTCGGAAAATTGTTGGTGTGAAGTGAATTAACTTTTTAATATATCAGTGTTCCATGACCCGACTGGCGCTGGTTTGCAGGACTATTTTATTTTCTTCAGCATAATAAATTTATCAAAAGTAGCAATGAAGTCTGTTATCTTTTTCTTAAAGTTTGGGAAGATAATGGCGGTTGAAATCATATGATGATAAATGAAAGTTGGCTTTTCTCCTATAATAACTCTTCAGGCAAATTTTCGCCTACTGTAATTATTTATTTTGATTTTTCCTTCTGAGACACCTTCCTTCAAGCGGACCGTTCTAATTTTTTGAAGACATTCCTCTATAGCTGCTTCATATTGGTTCTCAACTTGATTTTTTCAGAAAAGCAGACACTTTTTAAATGCCTGCCAATCTGCCATGAAGTCTTTCAAAAAACATTTTGAGTCTGCAAACACTTTATGAAACTTCGCTGGTCCGCAAAAAATGTATGAATATTTCCCAGCCCATTATACGGTATCACTTCATGTGTTTAATAATTTTTTTCTGTGATCAACAGAGTTTGTGATGCCGGTCTGGGAAGAGAACTTCGAGCCGCCGACTTCGGAGGAACGTTTGCGGCGCGTGTGAGTCACTAACGCAAACAAAAATATTGTTTCATGAGCCCGTGAGAAGTGCGAATTTCGCGGGTGCCGTCATCAAGGAGGGGAAAAAAGAAAACATTTGACCCCGGGGTTAATTTGGGGCCTGCTGACAGACAGAAAAGAGAGGGGGAAACTAATCATGGACCACGCGGGTTCCGCTGTCGTGGAACGCGGCGAACCCAGAGCCGCGGAATGGTCCGCGTTCCAAGACTCTTTATCAGCCGATTTGCGATCCATCAGAGTCTTCACTGTTGTCGGACTCGTGATGGTGCTGATCGGCGGGTCCATGTTGGGTGTCGGGTTGAGTGTGGGCTCTGACACGTGGGCACTGTGGCGACTGGGACTCGCCGGGTTCGTGCTGGGTTTCGCACTCACCATCACGTCGTATTGGGCGCTGCAGCGGAGGTCGAAGATCATCGCCATTCAGCAGCAAATCGCGGCTGCGGCTGCTGTTGGCAATCGCGACATACTCGTCGTCGACTATGACACCATCCAGGTGAGGTTGTGGGCAATTCAGAAAAAAAGAATTGTGTCAAATTTTCATAATTGCGGTATTGTCAGATACAATATAATCGGGAGTTTTTCGAAAGTTTGTAGCACAGTTACTCACGAGAAAGCTTGAAGCTTCAGTGTGCATTTCGCAAAAATTATCGGTAAAGTATTGTGGACGTTTCAGATAAATCGGACGTCGTGCGGAGTTTATAAAATTGTTTGCTCGTGTGTATTTTTAAAACATCAGTACTGTGGGCATTTCAGAGAAGATTTCAGTTTTATGGTATTTCAGATAAATTTTGAGTTGTGTGGAGTACAGAGAAATTTACCCTCGCATCTATGAAAGATTTCAAATTCCGGAACATTTCAGAAAAAAATTGTATTTTGAGAACTTCACATGGATATGTAGTGCCTTGTTGCGAGAAAATTTTGCTTTTCTGCATTCGAATAAAATCTGTTTTGTAAAATTTTCCGAAGAATTGAGAGGAATGTACTGCGGATTTCAGAAAATTATTTGTCGCTCTTGGACAATTTATTTAAAGCATTTTCTGTATCGTCTGGCATTTTAGACAATATTGTAGCGTGAATTGTGGAAATTTCAGAAAAATTCGTAGAAATTTCATGGGAATCGTGATAATGACAATTATATATTTTTTTTCTTTTTATGACTCGGTACGAGCTGTACAGTATTCTCAATATTTACCTACATTTATTTTTTCGCTGTGTATTCGCCCAATGTTTGCGATTCTTCGTGCTACTTTACTTCACTGTTCCTGCACTTTTCTCATGCAAATTTCCATGACGGATTTTTTTTACGCAATCATGCAGGTTTATTATAATTAGCATGAAGTACCATAAACAAGAGTATAGGTTTTAGAACTGAGATTCTCCTGTTTGGTTTCAGCTGTCTCATATAAAAAATGTAGAATTACATTGCATTCAATGATACTGTATTTCCTGTGATATTAAACTTAACGATCCTATATGTTAAATTATAACCAAGAGAAATAAAAAAAGAAATTCTCGCTTAAAAACGAATTGGATGTTTGTTTCTGCTCGACGTACATCATTTTTCCATAACAGTTCACGACTTTTGTTGTACTTGCGCTGTTGAATGATTTGCAAACAGCTGGAGAAATTATTTTTCGTTACTATTGTATATACAGTAGAAGAGATTATGTGTTTCAGGGGTGTTGGGCAACCAGATATTCATCTGCTGTTACAGGTTTTTTAAACGCGTCATGGAAGAAAAATTCCAGTTGGATATGCTCTTAATGTTACGGCTTGATGTATTCATTTATTTATTTAAGCTTATTGCGTAGAATATTCAGTTGACTCCGACATTAATTGACGATGAAACTGGGAATGTGCAGGTAAGTTTCTGTAGCACGGTTCTGTTAAAATATATTGTAGGAATTTTCAGTAAATCAAGAACGAGAAATTTTGTCGTTCCCGTCCGTTTCTACTGATATTCTACTGATAGCCATGATACAAAATACAGGTGGTACCTCGCAATTCGACCGTCCCGCAATTCGACCTGCTTTGGCCACATTTTTGCGTTTTTTTTACTGATATTTTGGGATTTCAGTGTCTCGCGATTCTACCGCTTCGCAATTCAACCCTAGTGTGGCAACGGATTTGGGTCGAATTGCGAGGTGGTGTATGTACAGTATATATATGTTTTTTATTTATATACCTGTGTATACCTGCTTATATATACAGTATATTTTTTTCTTGGCAGACACGAGACGATTCCAACCGAATAAGCGTGATTTACGGGACTGAGGACGTTTGGATCAAGCCTCCGGTTTATGATCCACCGCCTCGTTATGAAGACGTTGTGCGAGACGCTGAGCTCAACATCAGCTGTTCGCAACCCGGTCCATCACCAACCACATCGTCGACCCCAGGGACACCACCTGTCCCGCCAATGACGAAATCCGTTTAGGAATACGTTCTAGATAATTTTTAAAATACTGTACGATAATTGACTATTTTGCTTGTTAATTGTGTTGGTCTTCTGCAGTGTGGAAGAGGGAAGGATGTGATCCCTGCTGCTGCATGGAGGCAAACTATAACTGCCAAGAAAACGACGAAATTATTATTTTTTATTCGTGAATATTATTCAATTAATTTTCTGATACGGTAATTAAGACGAGTGTTTATCTTTTTCTTTTGTTGTGGACAAGAAAAGGATTCGATTGCTGCTGCTGGAGTAAACACATTTTAACTACTCGTGATCGACGAAATCCCTTTTGGAATATTCTTCTGTAAATTTTTTTCGATAATTAATTTCCTAATTATTTGATTGACGCGGTTTTATTTTTTACATTCTCCTCCAGGAAGAGACGTATTCGATTGTCTCTCCTGGGGTAGGCAAATTTTAAATGCCCCGAAAATTTCGAATTCTTTTTCTAAATATTTCTAGGTTTGATTCATTCAACTTCGTGCAGTAAGTTAATTCACGCTCTTTTATTCTTTATTATGACACGAATGAGAGGACAATTCAAGGGATGTATTTTGAATAGGTGAATTATAACTGCTTCACAAATGATGAAATACGAGTACAGTATGTTTAAAAATAAAGTATTGGTAGCTGATGTAATTAATTAAAGCATTTATTTAATTACCTGCGAAATACGAATAAAAACGAAACGACCCATTCTCTTACTACGTTGACTAGGACTAAAATATCCACTTTATTATTTACAGGACTTTGGAATTTTTAGGTTTTAGAAATACTGTTGTACTCTTATGACGAGTAATCGATTTTACTGCAGTACTGTAATTCTAAGCTTCTCGACCTCTTTTCGTAATTTTGTTTTAGGATTTTTGAATCGCTGTATTTCATCGTTTGTCTGGGGAAGTGGAACTTAAACTTGCGCTAAAGATCCTTACTTTTCAACGCTTAAATTGACCGGAACGACGCCGATTTGATTTATAATTTTGCGAAAATGCTTCCATCTCGAGCGACGTGCGTTTGAGACGTCCTTCAGCGTGAATTCTTCGTTTGTTACCGAATTATATTTTTACGTGGACTGAGGTATTTTTTTTTCTAATGTGACGATGATAAAAATATGACTGGGGATTGTTTTTGGCCGTGTTGACAAAATGCATAGTTTCTAGCGTTTTTTTTTTACATTGAAAGAAAATGAAGGAAGCTGTTCGCCGTGAGGGCATGTTACACTTTGTGTTCCAGAAAACATATTCCTGATCAGACGTTGCTTCCATCTTGTGACGGGTGTGATGCGTGTTTTTTTTTTCTTTTTTCTTTTCTTCCAATTTTGTGTGATGAATTTTTATTTTTGGCGCAATTTGTCAGATGATTGCTGCTGACGTGAACGATTACGGCTGGTTGTGCGCTAAGGAAATGCAGAACGACTTTATTCCTGTAATTTTTACCGATTTTTTTACTTTTTTTTTTCTATAAAGCATAATGGATAGATATCTTGGCAGCTTCGTGTTTCCTTGTATCTTATTCTTCCGGGACACGACGTAATGAAGCTTTCAGAGTTTTGAGGTAACACTTTGGAAATAAGGTGCAGGAATTTCTATCAATTGATTTGGCGCTGCTTTTATTGTACATGCTGCGTTAAGTGTGCGCTGTGGTAAACATGCAAATTTTAATACAGTATTTTCATAAGAAGTGACATAAAAATATCGTGTGAATCTTATTTTTTATTCGAAGTTTTCTTGAATACGATGCATTTTACTTCACTTATGTAATTGCGAATGATTCACACGATCCCATTTTATGTCTTCGGTGACGTTTGCATTGATTATTTCATTGGAGAAATGTACTGTATTTGCTCTCGAATGGTGTAATACCAAGCCACCAAGGTGATTCATGTTCTCGGAGAAAAAGAACATCGAGTAGAACCAATATTCATGACCACCTGTCGAGAAAATTATCCATCAGCCAGTTGTATTCCTTGAATATGTCTGAAAAAAGTTTACATATGTCGAACGAATTGGCAAATTTCGCAGAAAATAAACTCGCATACAAAATAAAGGTGGCAATTGCCGATATTTGCGACATAATCCCCTGTTTGCAGACCCACCACAGGCATATAGGAAACGCAACCCAAACCCACGCTTTTCGCCCTTGACACCTTTCGATACACTGTCGACGGGTATACACGACGGCGGAACAGAAAGTCGGCAACCCGTCGAGGGGTCGATAATGAAATGCGAGCAGCATTAGGTTGCCGGAGTCTTCGACCCGTGTTGACCAGTCCACTTTTATCGAGCAACGCGTTGCGGAAGCCGCTCAAACGCAAAGCATTATTATTCTGTATTGGCCTCTTTTATTGCAAAAAAAAAAAAAACGTCTGTAATCCCTGTGCTGGCCATGCGGGCAACGAATCAGGTCATCCTGTGAAATGTGCCTGACACGAAGTGTGACATGGATTCTGGTGGTTTTCCTGACAGCCTGGAGCGTTCATCTGTCAGTCCAGGTAGGTACACGGGTATAATAAGTATAATTACTTTCGATGTATTGTATAACAATTCGAAAATTGGTTGGGAAATGGAGAGAAACGCGAGCATGAGAAGATGAGTCGATTTATTTTTTTCTTCTTCTTTTTTTCTCAAAGTGAAGTTGTTTGGGTCGGTACTCAAGTTTCTGACTCATAGTTTCCCAAACGACTGCGATGATGATGGCAGGGATCAATGACTCAGAAAAGGTTCAATTTAGCATTTGATATATGCAGTACTACAATATTTTTATATCATCCCTGATGGATTTGTTGCTTGAGACTCCAGGGCATTTGCCATTAATCAGTCAAGAGCAATCATCTCATTCAGTTTCTTCAACAAGAAAATTGCAGAGATCATAAAAATGCTCGATTGAAACATTCTATTTCTTTAAAATCGTGGAAGTCTTTTATTCCATTCATGCTTTAGTCAGCAGCTCGATTTTCACAAGAAAGGGAAAAAGAACCCAAGTACGAGAAAATGGCTCAAATTTGATTTCCTTGACTCAAAATAAGAATTTTTTGTTACTCAAGTTTCTGACTCATAGGCACCCGAACGACTGTGGGACCAATTACTGTTATCAATAAATCCTTATTTCTGCATTTGATGAATATTTTTTCTCGTCGCTGACGATTGAATTCTTGCTCTTCAAATTTGACATTTGAAGAAAACTCATAAAATCACTAGCACGAACATCGGTGAGATCAAGAACATTTTCCTTCGGAACTAACGTTATTCATGCTTCATTCGTCAGTTCAATTTTGTCAACCACTAACAACAGACGTTGATATAGCGCCAGCGTCAAGGATTTAAAATGGAATTCGTTTTTTATATTCGACGATTTTATTCAAATCAATTCCGTCGCTGAAAAAAAAATTGTGCACTTCATAGCGCGAATCGAAGGCGTCAAAATATACTCGTATACGAGATTATATTTACCATTATATTTGTTATATTTACTATGAGTTGAGCATTGTTTTCTGGGAGCAAAAATGTACGAGAATTGTGTCTTATTCTGTATTCAGCATCGTTTACAAGGTAATTTCTATTTGTCTCTTGTAATATTAGGTAGAATGCTTAGGCTTTTGAAAAAATTATTGAAAATTCAAGTATAGAAGATACAGATTTTTTCATTATTGTGACTTCGGTGCAATTTAAATGTAATAGGTTTTCTCGCATAAATCTTGGTGATAGAAAATTGTAAAAGTAGCCACTAAATTATCAAGCATTTATATTTTAAAATTTAAGTTTATCTCGATCCTATACCTAAAAAAAAAAACACTAGAATAAAATAGCTTACGAATCAACCTTCTTAATTCTTCAACAGTGATCAGCATCAATAAATCCGTAGATCCGTATTTGCATGACAATGGAGATGAGTGAAATCTCGTGAATATTGCTTGAAATTACTTGCAGCTCACAATAGCTTCCCTCAATTGATTCTTAATTTATGAATTTAATGAATCGTTAAAAGAACTCGTTGTCAAGATATTCGTTCAGTCCTTGAAAGTGCGGCGTACAATTTTTTTTTGTTTTTTTGTGGGTGTTCCCCTGAAATTTAATTGATAATTAAAGCATGAAGGATTCAAAATTGACCACAATCAATCCTTGAAAAATTTTCATATAGTCTGATTCCTCTCTAAACCTTCCAGCAATCATTGACCGAAGTAAAAACCGTAGCTTGCTTAACGTCGCCTCAGAAGACCAGCTGTGAAGATTGCATCCAGGTCTGTTGCCATGTTTTGTTTTTTCAACTCCAAAAACGCACATTGATGATGACAATTTCATAAATTTTTAGTCTCTGGGATCATGGGTTACACAAATTACGAGCCCAGTGTTTACCAGACAGTTATCAACAGTTGCCAGCTGCTTGAGAAATTTTCAATTGGCAACTTACTCCGAGTGTGCTGATGCCATGACTGTGAGTACCAGCAACAAATTGTGAATATTTTAATGTCGTCTTTAGTAATAATATGCATGAACAGCACAGAATAGCACAGCCTACATAAATTAATAATCAGCAGCTACTGCAAAATCTCAGAATAATCCTTGACTAGATTGAAAACAAAAGTATTGAAAATATAGAACATGATAAATGTGCACAATTAATTTAGGACAAAATTATCCTTGACTAGGCTAAAAACACAAGTATAAAAAAATTAATAAAAATTTTATTATAAATGTATACAATTAATTTAAGATAAAGAGAATCTAGACACAAGAAAAGCTTGCATTTTTGTCAGAATCTAAATCCAACAAAAAGAAAAATTTGTAAAAAATAAATAAAAGAAATGTGTGAGTTCTTGCACTGTGTGAGTTGTCTCATAGCCAATCTAGTCACCTGAGCTAACTTAAAATAAAATATAAATTATTATATAGTAAAATTAAAAGATATTTTTTGAAAGTGTTTTCCGCTTCAAATGTTTTTATCACACGCAAGCGTTGTGCTGAAATTCAATTTTCCTGATGATACCAGGTATCTGAGCAAATAAACAGGGCTTCCGACGATTATTTCGCTTTGAAATCTCTCGCCGAACGCTTCTTAGAATCAAAGAAAGCTTTTATTCCATCGATTAACCGAGTTAATATAATGGCATTTTCAGTCGGGTTCTCAAAGGTACCAAAGAGGTGTAACATGTATCCGGAACAAAAATCAGCAAATCATCAATCAACAAATCTCCAGCACGGGAACGACAAAAGCCACAACAGCAGGAACCGCTTCGACAACAAAGGCAACAACTGCCACAATATCGACAACAAAGGCAACAACTACCACAACAAAGGCATCAACTGCCACAATATCAACGACAAAACCAACAACTGTCACGCTAACGACGACAAAAGCAACCACAGCGACAACGAAACCGACATCGACAGTCACGGCCAGCGCAACAACAACCGCCACAACTAGAACTAACTCAGCAACCACTACTTCTAGTCCTACTAGTACAGCCTCTACTGCTGGTACTGGTACAACTACTCTAACCTCTACGAATACAGCAACAACTACAAAGCCAGTCAGCACAACGACTACGACAGTAACCACCACAAAATCCAGTGCGACAACTGCTACCACAAAGTCAGGCAGTGTGACGACGAATTCGGCAACAACAGTCGCGCCAATTTCGACAACGACGACAGCAACTGCGACAGTGTCGTTGGAACAAGTGCCGCCTTTGGCGAGACCTTTCATTGCCTTCGCGAATCTCGGAAGACGGTGAAAATTATTTCTTGTCAAAATGGAGTATTCACGTTTGAAGAAGAAATCGAGTTTCATGAATAAGTAGATTTGTATTTTTGAATGCAACTTCAGGAAAGACTATATTTCAACATTGAAAAGCATATATAAAGTATTTTGATTTTACATCCCAGTTTCTCATATAGAAGGGCTTCGCAAATTAGCGATTGCAAGGAAATTGAAAACGAAATCTACTAATCGATGCCAAGTAGACCCTCTTAGGTAAGAAAAATCTCAACTTCTCGGGGGATAAACAGCTAACCATGGTCTGAACTGGCTTTTTCACTTTTGGCCATTCCCAAAAATGAAACACTTGCAAGAGAATATTCTTGCCAAAATTAAAAAAAATTCGCAATATTTTTCATTCGCATAAAATATATTTTAGACACAACAAATTCGAAAAAAGCATAAAAAACTTGATTTTTAAAGACCGGGCACGGTATTTAGTTGTAGGATTTTTTTTAGGACTAGGAGTATAAATCCAACTTCGTTTTTTTCTTCAAAATATCGCTACTGTAGCTGAAATTGTCTTCGAGTTCCACGCGGAACTGAAATTTAGGGATTTTTAAAGTCCTCTGCATATTCATTACTATTGTAACAGATGCGGTTCAATTTCTGATAAAATCTTGGAGACTGGAGAAGAAACAGCCGATAGTTATGGAAAATTATTCACTAAAACATTGAATCAGTCCCTTCACAAAAAGAAAATAAAAGGATTATCTTTCAGTATTTTTTGAAGTGAATGAGAGATCATTTTCATGATCTGGTTATTTTAGTAAAAAAAAATTGGAATTCGGCACTGGAACGGGAGATGAAATTCGATTTCATCCTATGAAAAATTCTGGATTTCTCAAAGGTTCAATTATACTGAGACAATAGGAAAGCATTATAAAATTGTACTCCATCCTTGATTGTAAAGAAAATTAAAAGAAAATGTTTTTGTTCGAGGAATTTGTTGCAATACATTTTTCAACATCTTTTTTTCAAGTCGAGCCTGGTTTTTTTGTATCACAAAATTTTACTGCATAAAGTTGCATCACGCTTTACCGTGAAACTAGTCCATTGTAATCGTGAACGGATTCAATGGGGGCTCGGTTACTCGCCTTTTGTCTTTCTGTTGCACAAGATCACTTGAACGTTTTTTGTTTTTGTTTTTTTTTTTGGACCCCAGCCAGCATTTCTTGCCGAACTTATGTTAAATACGGTTTCATAATCTTTTGAACTGACCGCCATGAGTTCGGAAATTTTAAAGCGGATAAATTGGCCCAAAAAATCTGCAAGCGATAAAATAATCGCATGTCTCAAAGCAGCAGACGTTTGAGAACATGCCACGTATTCGTTCAAGTTTTTAAGAATTGCAAAAAACTTTACCTCAGGAAACTTCGGCTGAATTCTCACGATTTGGAATCTGAACATGCCATGCCTTAGAGCCGAGGATGCATATTTTTTGCGATGAGGGAAATGCTTGAGATTAAAAGAAAACAATTTCGCTGCGATCCAATAGTTTCCAGTGCGTTTCCTTTCAGTTGCTCTACTGAGATTGGTCTAATTTAGCGCGTTTTTTAAGACTAGTTTAATGGTGACAGGGCAAGTGTTCTTGATCTTATGGCACGATCAGTAAAAAGATATCTGTTGATACGCTTGCTCATCTGTGTCTTCTTTACTCATGCGAGTTTTCGATGCACGTTTGGCGAAACTGGTGAGCTTTCGTGATTATGTCGCCGTTTTATCTATAAACTTCCTTTTGTCTCTCAACTTTTAACTTTCATCAAATTTTTTCAAGAAATCAATGATGACAAAGAAGCTCTGGAGGCCTTATCAGAAGTTGCAAAAGCAGTTAAAACTTTGGCTCGACAGCAAACTCAAGCAGCCGAAGCCAGGATCAGATCTCTGAACAAAAAAATCAACAGTGCTACCGAAAACGACTTCGTTCAGTATTCAGGAAAGAAACTGTGGGAAGACGTAGTGCATAAGAACGAATTCCCCGATGACAACAGCCAAGAAAAATCCGAGGACGAGTTGTTGGTGAGAAGCTCCACGTACCAGCCAAATGAAGACCGAAGCGACAAAAAATACTTCCCATTCTACGACCACAAATCCGGGGATTTCACAAAATTGCCCGAGTACAGTTATCAGGATAATGTTGAGGTAGAATACTGTAACTAAGTTGCTGATTTCTCCCGCTCCTTTCACTAGACTAGTAGAGCACCCTACGCTCCAAAAGCTCCAAAGTATTTTTGTCCTCATACAGATGTCGCTTGTACTGTATATTCTGTAACTTGGTTGATTTGATGTTCAATTACGCATCAAAAATCCGCCGAAAAATGTAATGACTTGAGAGTAGCAGATTTGGAAGATCCATTTTGTTATGCTTAAGAATTTACAATTGTAATGTTCAGTTAGAACACTTTTGAAGACAGGAAGTTTCTTGCAGACTTGAAAATAAGGCCAAAACATCTACTGCTGTATACGTATGCAATTCACACGAGGCAACTTAACCAAATCCAAATAAGAGTGGGGAGGACGAGAGATAGCACAGATGAATTTTAAAATTGCAAATATCTTAAGTCCAATTACATTGCATCGTTCACGAGAAAATGTTGGAGTGGCATATTAGAAAGGTTAAGGTGGTGCGTTGATGCTTCAAAATTGTAATTTCAAAGTTTAAAATGGTAATGTTTGTCTAAATAAAAGATTCGTGTATATCGGCTGGAAGTATTTTTGCAGAATTTAAAATGAGACTGAAACAATATGCAATTCAGAAACAACCAAATTCGAATGTAAATGAGAAGGTATAGGGAGAAATGATACATTTCAAAATTGTGCAGATTTTGAGTTTACTTACATTGAACATTGCTCAAAACAATGTTAGAGGGAAGCATATTTTTACGATCCTTTTGTTGATGCTTTCAAATTCACAATTTTAATGTTTATCTCACATTTGCGTAGGCTGGAAGTTTTTGTTGTTGTTGTTGCAGAATTTGAAATAAGGCTGAGACAATATGCCGTTATTCAGATACAATAAAAATTCAAGCAAGAGTGAGAGGGCATATAGGAAGAAAAAATACAGTTCAAAATTGCAGAGAAATGCTAAAATAGAAATTGTGAAACAGTACCTGAATGAATGCCCACCAAGCAAGTCATTACATACATTTAGGTAGTGATGATATTTTTTTACTCAAATTGGACACAGTACATTGTATATGTTCCTTTTCAGCACCGAAGTCGCCGCATGCGGGACGCCGTGAACAACTCCGAAGCTCATCCCTGGAAAATCTGGAAAGTCAAGGAGTATATTTTACCCATGTGTCCTCTGGAATCTTCAACAGCTGCGATGACGACAACTGAAGCTCCAGCTTATTACGCAGATCTCTGCAAATATTCTACAACAGCTTTCACGTGTCCGACAAGGGCGACTAAAAAGATAATTTGCACAACAGCGGAGAAGCATTCTTCATCTGAGGAGAGCTATTCAGGCACTAAATCCGTGTGCAAGATTCTTTGTACGACTGTCAATCCTAGATGTCGCCCCTCGTGCCCCGACAGAAAACGGACCAATAAGGTGGTCTGCCCTTCGGTAACGACGAGATATTTCACCTGCCCCACGTACGCTCCCAAAACGACGCCATTGTGTCCAACTTCGACAGCATTGTTCCCAACTTCCGCGACTGAACCTACTTCTACTAGTTGCCACACCACCCAGATCACTACTTCAGAAACCGCGACTAATTCTGACACAACTTCGGATTCATCGACATCAACCCTGAGTGAAAGTACAACTTATTATCCTTATCTTGGAACATTAGTGACTGATTATACTGACAGAACATTAATGGCAACAGGAAGTTATTCTACCTTGTCAGAAACAACCAATGCTTGGGAAAACGCCTTGATGGTAGAGGGTGAAGATGAGGATGAATTAGGCCTTCGAAAGGGGCAACCTTTTTACATAGAGGGCCAGCAAGTGCCAATTATTTTCATGCTTGCAAAACAGAACGGAGAACAAGAAGCTTACCTTCACGATCCTAGTAAAATTATAGAAGACATGGACGAAGCAAGCATTCCAGATGAAGTAGCAAATTTTTTCAAGAAAAAGGACGCAAAGAAGAGGAAAAACTCAAAGAACAAAGTAAAGTTCCAAGATTCAGTCAAAATCAATCATCAAGAGGAAGAGTCCGATACTCAACAGATCAGGATGCCATCTAAACAATCCAAAGGCAAAAAGAAAACTCTTACTAAACTTCAAGTCGAGCACAACATCATGCACGACGGAATCCCGATTGTGTATCAAAACCGTTTCAAATTATGGCCTCAGCAAAAAAGAGCGGCGATGATCGCGAAGCAGGGAAATAAAACTGGAAAATTACTGTAACAAAAACAACATATCTTACCGTCGCTTTTTTGCAGTCAAGGGACAACGATCAACGAACTTCGAGAAGGAATTTGCATCTTAAGGAACCATAAATGAGTACATGTGCCACCGACTCATCAACTGGTTCCAGAAAACCTGCATTTTACGTCTGTGGACACACCTTACATTACGTTTCTCTTCATGACATATGCTATTGAGTTCAGGGTTGATTCATGAGACCTAAAAGCAATTAATTCTGCTCCAGATTTTAGCTATATAGTGTATACTTATAATTGGAAATAAAAATCTGAGGATCAATTCTTCTAACGCCGGCATGTACGGGTATTCCAATATACAGTACAGTACTGTACACATGCGCTAAATTTTATTTAATTATCCATATTTCTGCGGCTTACAATAACAGTACACTGTACACGTTCAACGAAGAAATCTACCTTTCACATGCGTCGGGAAAACACAGGACGGCGAAGTTTGAATGTACAGTATCTTCTACATAGTAACGTAGTACTTTAGTATACAGTATTTTAACTATGGCACGAAGCTTTATAAATCCTGGCTCTGGCCACTTCCCATCGCTGGAGATAAGGCCTATTCGACCGCGAGGGAATAAGAAACATGGCTACGCGCGTCGGTCTTCGGGAGCACGAGTTGAGACCCGAAGACGAGAACGACGCCCTCGCAGTGAACAAATCCAGGACGGAGTGAATTTGTTTCGTCTTGGTGCTACTAGAGGAACGGCGAGACTGCGTATTGTGATCCTATATAATTGAATTATACCCGGAACGTGTAGCAGTTACTGCTTGTATTTGAAATATTTCGTTTGTAGTGTTCGATTTGGGTGGCACTCAAAATGTTCAGGATGTACGAGTTCTACTCGGTAGTTGTCATGACATGTTTTGAAGGTTTATTCGTTTTTTCATTCTGTAGGTCGCTAGAATGACATCCTGACATATCCCGCCATGTGGGACGCGACTGCATTTCCCAACTTGTGTTCGTTCCGTGATTCTTGCCCGGAGACCGCTTCTCCGCGGGAGCAGTGATCACTTCGATTTTTTTTTCAAGTTTTCAATCGTGTATAGGGAGTTAAAACTCCCGAAGCCATGTCCGCCATGTGGGGAATGATGTGTGACGTGATGCCGACCATCTCGGAGGATACCATAAGCCAGCAAAACTCCCAGATGAGTGGCGAAGATGCCAATATGGAGCAACTTATGCTCCAAATGCTCGACGAGCGGGATAAACTTGTGGAGTCCTTGCGAGAGAATCAGGAACGCTTGCAGGATATGGAACTAAAGCTGTCAGACGTGGAAAAGGAAAGGGATTCCCTACAACGTCAGATTCAAGCTAGTCTTCCTCAGGTGAGTCTTTCGCTGTGAACGAAAAGTTTCTGTGATGCACCGAAGAAGTTTGACAATACGGATGTAAAAGGGGTTAATCATGTCGAAGTTCCGGTAGGTCTTCGGTTTTTGCTTTTCGAATTCTCCGTCAAAGTAATCCCGTATTCTGGAGGGCGGATATTAGCCGAGTCAGAAGCTAGGGTTTGATCTAAAGACTTTCAGTGTGGGCGAACGCTGAATTTCGTCAGTGTCGGGGACCTTTTGAGAGGCGTTCCAGCGTGTCCAGTATTTAGTATTCCTTGTAGACGTCGATTTCCCTGTTGATCGTACGGTATTTCATGTCATTTAAATTTATTCAAAAATTTCGCGGGTAATTTCTACGAATTAAAAATTTTTCGTCGAACTGTTCTTAAAAAAGGTAAATTTAATTTGTCTGTATAGTGTACGAATTATACTATCGATCACTTACGATGATCAGATGAGATGCGCTGTGCTGGTAAATCCGATTACAGTATTAAATCCCTACGTGAGCTTCCGTAAAATGCATAGGATATGTCATGCATTCATGTTTGGTTGCCGTATCTCGTTATTTGAATATGTCTTGGAAACATTTTTGGGAAATTTAAGATTAATGAAGGCATTCTCCGCTTGTTTCCAACGAAATTTATGCAGAAACCTCGAAAGAAGCATTTGATTCCCCTGGTTGTGGTCGTGTTGATCGTGTCATTCCCTGAGTAAATTATGACAAATTATTTCCAAAAACTTCAGGACTGCTGTTCATGGAAACTGTTATGATGTAAAAACGCTTTGAATCGATTGCCTTAATATTTCACCGCGCTGTAATGTGTCTACGTCTATATTAGGATTGAAATTTGCCTGCGTAGTTTCCGCGTATAGACTACTGTAGAAGATTTTAGGAGAAAATCTCGTCGCTGCAGCTGTGCGAGCACACTCCCAATAGTATCCAGTACGGTTCAATGGGTCCATCTGATGAAAAACATGTGGGCCAGCAGGTTGCGTGTGAGCCGAATGATATTCTATGATATGGGGCGGGATTTTGCGGGGAAACTTGGGCTTGGCAGTATCTCTGGAATTCGTCACAACTTCGGGTATATCGTATTTTCGCCAACCCTCCGCTGCGTAACTTCCAAAGGGAAGGAATTGAAATACAGGAGCTTGTATTTCTGTGTCTCAACTTCCTCTTGTGGACAGATCGACGGAATGTTTTCCTGTGTTTTTTCTTCACTGTCCGGAATGTCATTTTTAAAATTCACTGAACAACGAGCTCCGTTGCATTGTTTGGTACATTCGGCTTGAATTATGATGGTATTCGGCAGCAAATTTATCGAGGCTAATTTCAAGAGACATTGCGCATTTCACAATTTCTGCATTTGTGTCTTCTACTGCGTATTCCGGAGCATGCATCTTCCTTTTTTAATAACGAAATGACGGGTTGATGTGATTTGCAGTTTTCTTGCGTGTCTTCAGCTGTTCTTTTTTTTTTTTTTTAAACGGTTTTCGTTGGGCTTTCGGTAACGCAATCATTTCCTGAAATATTCCAGATGATGCCACATGATGGAAACAATTTCCTTCTTCTAAATGCGATGAAATACTTTTTTGTTCGAAGGAATTTTTGTGCAAGAGTACGGAATAATACGGAATTCTTCAGCGTCTTGTCAGTTTATAGATTCAAACATTGTAGAAAAAAACATGGCAGCTTGCTATCATTATGTTAATACTGTACATTTTCTCGGCGCTTTTCATTGATTGTTCGGAGACGAAACGTATCTATCTTTTCTGTGGAAATATTTTTGTCAAGGGTGTAAGGACTACGACAGGAATGCTGAATTTTCTTACCTTGAAATTGTTTTCTTTGCCATCCTGTCAAAAAGTAAACGAGAAATTGTGGGGAAATCTCTGGCAACCCTGTGATACAATTCCGGAATCTAGATGAAGGTACAGTTTTTGCGTGCCTGAACGTTTTTAAGCCATTTAACAAGCGCTTAGCGAGAACCTTTGTTAAAACTCTCGTAAGACAGTGCGTGACAACTGTATCTCTGGGTAAACGCTCTCAAATGTTCTTGTTGATGATTCAAATGGGCTTGTAACCGTGAACTGTAGCGCTTTTTGTGAACATTTCGACAGAACCTCAATATCGGGTTTTAAGCGTGACGACTCACGTTCAGAAATTCCCGCAACTTGAAAATCGGCCCTTTTTCTAGCAGATTCAATTTAGATTCTACAGTAAAATCTCATAGCAACAAACTTTTATGGAGTTCGGAAAAAGTTTGTTAAACAAAAGTGAATTATGTATTGCAATGAGATTTCCGAAGTGTATCACTCGAAAAAATTTCACATCAGACCTGCCTATAGCAAACTAGACCTTGGTTTTTTGACACTCTTAAGATTTACTTTTTAATGTTTGAAAAACTGAGTGATTTTCTGGAAAAATTAGCTTCTATCATGCATTCCTCAGTTGCACCAATCTCGTCATTTTGGAGGATGATGTATGGAAACATGTTTGTTATTAATAGCAGCTTCCATGTATGCAACCAGAACCAGTCCGTCACTTGAAATTTCAAGTCCCAGCCTTCGCCGGGAAACTTCTACCTGGAGAATCTACCGTATTAAACATTCCTCAAAACGATTGTTGCTCTGGAATTTTGAAGTTTGTTGTAGCTGAATCTCGTTACAACGAAGCTTTTGAGACCTTGATGAAGCTTCGTTATAGACGAAAATCCGTTGAATCGCAATTAAAATAAAATTTTGGCTATTGAACAGGGACCGAAAAAGCACGTCCGTTGTGAGCATGATTTTGTTGTTGGGAGATTCATTGTAACAAGGTTCTATTGTACGGAAATGTTGATGTAACGAGATTTTAATATACGGCATATCTCTGAATGTGCTGACATTCATCCGTGTGATTTGAGTGTTCTGCTGCGAAAAGGAAGAATTTCGTTTACGACTCGATTTTGTTCTGTTTTACTTATTCGCCGGACTTGTTAACGTCCTCGTCGCTACGGATGAGGTGCCTCTTCCTTTAGCAAGTGTGACTAGTAGCAGTACAGCACATACAGTATAGGTATCGTTATCACGGCTGTCGAAACCGCATGTTCCTACATGTTATCCCCACATCACCGCTTGCTTGTTCGGGTGTCCGCGTTGACCTGCGCACGGAAAGGGTCGGAGGCTGTCAGGCGTCGAGGTGAGACAACATCGGGTCTGAAAGTTCAGTACATACCGGGGCGCCGACATCGTCGGCGATTTTTTCACCCCCAAGCACGTGAGAAATTCGACGCGCGAAAAACCCGGAGCTTTTTGCTCGATCGACCCACTTTTCATGACGACGAAGCTTTGTGTATTTCGGACTCTGAAAGAGAGTCAAATTATAATCCCCCCCCCCTTGGTCAAGAGAAGTATTGTATCATCGAATGACATTTTCAATTTGTCTGACATGATACCGATACGTGACTAAACGCCGCACCCTGATTTTGTGCCACCATCATGGAAGAAAAATCTGCACAAGAATCATTAAATTAGGCTTTTTAAAAGGTGAAGCTAGGCATGAAAGAATTTACATTTGGTCTGAGAAAAATCGATCTTAGTTTTTTTGGGAAAGTGCAGCTTATGATCACGGTATCCATTCAATTTTAAACTGCGAAGACCTAATTTTTGATTATCGTGCAGAGAACGGTATACAGTACTGAGAAAATGCAGTGTTGAGCTTTTGGAAACAAATTGTCGATACAGAGAAGGAGAAGCGAATAAAAAATATCCTGTGTAAAACAAATGAATTCATTAAAACCTAAAAGGTCTCCTTCATTTTCATGCAAAAGGCTAATTTTTCGAATGTATGGATTCCAAGTTCATGGATTCAATTTCAAGTTGCATAAAACATCGAGTGTGGGTTTAATTTTGTTCACAAACTTCCTGATTTGTCGGAGAATACTTTTTCCCTGAATTCCATCGAAAGGTATCATTTTCGCAACTGTCGCTAGGAAGTACTGCATGACACGTAGCAGCCGGAAGTGTCGCGTTTATCGTTTCCGAGTATTTGGCTGTCAGTTTTCTTTTGGAGTTTTTTTTTTTTTCGAAGTTAATATTCATGAAACTTCGTCTGAAAATGCTTTTTTCATCAGGCTAAGGATGACGAACCAAAAATTGAGGACACGATAAATCGTCACCGCTTCTGCACTTACTTTCGTACGTGTGAACTTATCGCACTTCGTCCGGAACAACAATCCGTTTCTTTCTTTTCTTTCTTTCAAAGTTGTTATCGGGCTTACGGGGGCGTAAGCCTATGATTTTTCCGACCTCGAGGCGCAATTCATTTTTGAGAATTACCGTAAATCTTTTTGAAGTGCGACGTGCAGGGTATCTTCCACATTTAGCGCGAGAGAAGTTATGTTAGTCTAGCGTATCCCCGGTTTAATTTTCCGTCATGAGAAGATTCGGCATTTTCGGCGTGCATGTCGTCTGAGCGATTCTTTGTTTTGGCGACTGCGTAATGATTCGTTTTCCTCGGAAAATTAGTTAAAATGAATTGTTTTAGGCGGCATCAGAAATTTTTTATCGAGGCGAAGAGCTCTAAACCAGTTTCCTGAAGCCCGTTTTTTTTTTAAATTCTGTAAATTGTTCTTCTCTTCGTCGTGACATTTGAATGGGACTACGAGTGAAGTCCTTTATGATTAAGTTCCCTTTTAGAATCGTGAGAAGAAAAGTTTCGGTTAGTTTCATATGCAAATTGGGTGTACAACGAATATTTTCGAAAGCTTCTGTGTTTCCTTGTGTTGATATTCGACGCTGTCCGAAGTTTTCATTGCGTGGCGTCCCTGAAACCCTGTGTCAGCTGCCTCCGTAATACCTAGAGTTGGTGAATATTTCGGAGTAGAATATCCGGACGAAAGATTGATTCAAAGCGAACGGAATGCCAAAGGAATTTACTTTTTTTCTCTCTGTTTTGTACCTCATAAGAGTTGAAGTAGTAGAATCTGGAGCACGTCTCTCATGCTGCCGACGCACACTGTTCTTTTATTTTGTGCTCATGAG